CCGGTCATCAATAAGCCCCTTTCCTTCTCCAAATACAAATCATAATTTCAATTCGCGTTTTCGGTCAATCCGAGATCGGTCAAAGGGAGAGAATAGTTTTTTAAAGTTCTCGACTAAATCCTTTTTAGATAATTTAAGAGTATTGTCCCTTGCAAAGAGAACGTTGATATGACCCAAGTCAATAAAGATCCAACGCCACAGGACAGTTACTCTGCTTTACTATAAGTAGGACTTTATCCTACACATATAATATGAGGTATTGTAGTGAAATCAGACGCTCATGAAAATAATGAAACTGAAAAAAAGGCATATTTCCATCGGTTTGGCAATGTTTATCGAATTTTTATTTTTCTGGCTCTACTCAACACCTTTTATGACCATCTAAAAACACATTTCTGTGTGGATTTCACTGAAAAACGCTGAGGCACAAAAAATGTACATTACTCAGTTTCCAAGGACTTTCAAGCTTTGGAAGTCACCAAACTTTGCTGCCCATTTCATCGCTAATTTTATCGATGAAACCAGGCGACCCCTCCTCCTTCAATAGCAAATTACTTGACATCTGTTTTAAATACAATGAGATTTTTTTTTCATTGAAAGTAAGGCAAATGAACACGCCTTAAGATGATACCAATAACGTAAGTTGCCAAAAATTGATGGGCGCCCGATTCCACTGCATCTCGTCACGCACATCATGTGATCACAGTGGGCGCTCACATATGCGTGACCCCTCAGTCGGTGTTTTAGAACTCTATGTGAGACAGCGTGGTGGAATCAGGCTCTCGTCAAAATAATCAAAGTGAAGAAACTTACCTTTTTCCATTGATTTGTGAATTTTAAAAAAAAAATTTGTTTTTTGGCTCAACACCTTTCATGCCCATTAAAATTAAAGAACTCATTTCTGTGTGGATTTTTCTGAAAAGCGTTGATTAAAGGCGCACAAATGTAAATTTTCAGTTACCACGGACTCTTAAGCTAGGAAATAACTAATCTTTGGCAGCCACTTTCTCGCTAATTTTACCTCCGAAAACAGGTGACCCCCACCTCCTTCTTTCGCAAATATCTTGACTTGTATTCAAGATAAATGGATATTTTGTTCATCCTAATAAAGACAAGTGAACAAGCTTTATGATGATACCAATAACTCTACATGCCCAAAAATTGACGAGAGCCTGATTCCACCGCGCTGCCTCACATATTTCATTCATCGAGGAGAAAAGTGGCCCATCATTTAGTTAAAAAAACAATGTTATTGCTGTTTGTTATGATCTGTACTGAGATGAGATTTCCATAGCTAAGTGTTTATCAACAATGGCATTATAGTCTTTCAAGCCCAATAAAACAAATAGAATAAACAGAGAGAAAGTAAAGAAGTTTGACTGACCAGAGGCACCCTTCAACTATCCATATAATAATTAAAGTGCAGTAAATGTCATGTATTTATTTATATGTAAAACTATTTCCTGAGTGTTTATTCTACGACTAACAGTTAATTTCAAAACTCAAAACGCTGCACAGTTGGTTGTTATTACTAAACACAAAAGCGCCAGATGATAGAATTGCACAGGGTACAAAAAAAAAAGAAAAAAAAGTGCAGTAAGTAAAATGCAAACAAGTAGACAGAGAGGACAAATGCAAACAAGTAACAGAGAGGTCAGATGAGCAGATAATCAGATAGAGAAGTGAAGTATTGAATGGGGGGGGGGGGGGGGGGTCAGGGTCAGTGAACTGCTAAATTAATTTTATTGATTGGTAGTTTGAAAGTAAATGTTTTACACCTCTACTTTCAACACAACTTAGATCACGAAGGAACCTCTTCTGCTCCTGCAGATTTGTCATCCGTTGGGTCACATTTGACAGATGACAATAAATCTCCTCCACTCCTGTGGGCCAAGTGTTTATCAACTATGGCATTATAGTCTCTCAAGCCCATTAAAACGCGGGAAATAGTTTTTGTTTTAGTAGAGGTTTTACAGCGCTCGCAACTTTCTACATAAGGTCATATGAGCGCCAGAAGATTAGAAGTATCACAAGGAAGTAACAAACATAAAAAGGAAGAAGGGGAAATAAAGACAATAGATGTTTGATAGGAAAGAAGAAGCAAACCACACTAGAGTACCCACCAACCACTCACGACAAATAGAGTCAACTGAGAGAAAGTAAAGAAGTATGACTGACCAAGGCTAAGAAAGTTACAGTATCCCAGGCAGCAGAAAGATGTGGAGATGTCAAAAACATATATTTCCTTGTCTGGGAATTGAACACAAGCTCTCTGTTATAGATACTTGGCCCCCCTTTTTACATTAAAAACCAATCTGGCAACCCGGCTGATAAGGGCAGGTTAATCAAGAGTTTTGTTGCGAGCGCCGTAAAACCCTATACTACTACTACTAGAAAATTCAGAAAAACGAAAAAGTTAAGCTAGAGGGAGGGACAGAGCCAGCGTCAGTCACAGAACAGAAAATCAACCTACACTTTGTTTGAAACCAAATAAATGTTTGTGCAGTTAAAAGGTGGTATTTCGGATTTATATATGTGTCACGACATGGTGGAATCAGGCGCTCGTCAATTTTTGGGTATATGGGATTATTGGTATCATCTTAAAGTTAAAGCCTTTTCATTTGCCTTCCTTTTGGTGAAAAAAAATCCATCTATGTTGAATAGAAGTCGAAATATTTGCGACTGAAGGAGGTCAGGGTCGCCTGGTTTCAGAAGTAAAGTTAGTGAGAAACTGGTTGCCAAAGCTTGAAAGTTTCCATAGCCTGAAAGTTCTTGAATACTGAAAATTTACATTTTTTGTGCCTTTAATCAAAGTTTTTCATTATAAACCCATAGAAATGTGTTTTTAAATGGGTATAAAAGGTGTTGAGCCAAAAAAAAAAGGAAAATTGTCAAGTGGCCAGTAAAATGCAGTTCTCTTTGATTTTATCATTTTGACGAGTGCCTGATTTCACCAAGATGTATCACACATTTCCTTTAATCATTCATCAGAATATGTGTCGTGCCTGTGTTCCGTAATACTCTCTGTGTAAGGGCGAAGAGCCTGACCACAACACCACAGACACCGGTCAGCTGTGTCAACAATAACAATAGCAGTGAAAATAACCATAACAGCAACAGCAACTGCTGCAGCATTGGGGAATCTCGTTTTCGTAAGAGTTTTACAGCACTTGTAAGGACAATAAGGTAATATAAACACCTTGATTAGAAGTGCTGCAAGAGAGTAACAAACACCAAAAAAAAGGAGGGCAGAAAAGGACGATAGATGTTTGATAGGAAAGCAGGAACAAAACACACTAGAGCACATGCCAACCACCCACGGGGAATCTTGAGGGCAACTGTCTTAAGATAAGATGAGATAAACTAAGATAGATAAGATAAAATAAAATAAGATACAAAACAAGATAAGATCAGATAAAATTTTACTACTGATCCACAAGGCAAACTTTGAGTGGATATATAACAAGACATCAACATTAGAGGTTCAGCATATGTACAGGAATGCACTCATTAAATTCATGCACAATGATACACATACAGCAATGTACAACTCAGTCGCACAAGTGCACACACACCTTCAACACACACACACACACACACACACACACACACACACACACACACACACACACATACACACACACTCTTCCTTACACATCTGTGCACATAATCATAGCAATATTTCAAATAGTACGCTTGCACTCACAAACAGGCTCACAGTCACGTCTATTATCTATTTGTGGTGGCCGAATTTCGCTATTCAAAAGGTTTTTTAATGGCCGCATTGATCGACATGCAGTTTTCGCCAAAAGATTCTTTAAAATATTCTGCAGAGCATGGCGCCCTTGGTTTTTTTCAGTTTTGAGACAGTTTTGCTGCAAAAAGCTAAATTTCTTTATTTCGCCGATCGCTTTTGTAGGCCGACACTTTTGTCTCTGTAATTTTAGAAAACCTGGAAGTGATATTTCGCGAGGCGCATTTTGTTTTGAGAGTATAAATCTAGACCTTCTAATTTTTTGCATCTCTCAAAATTTATTGCCCCATTCCAATAGAGTGTAAATATAGTAGGCCAATGACTTTTAGTTGATATTAAAGCACCGATCATCCCTTTCATCGAAAGGGGGCCCAGCTAGTATATAATATAAATGAACAGTAATAATAATTATAAACATTAATAGCGTTAAGGTAGATATGTACTCAGTATTCTGATTGTAACTCAATGGTATTCTGAAGCATGCTTTAAAGATCATAATATGAATTCTTCTAACAAGATGACTAAAATGGTAGAAACGCCACTATTGACACTGTTATACGGTGATTTAAGGGTCGAGAACCTCCAAATTTAACGTCCGTCTCCGATCGGGTTGGACAAAATGAAGAGCACAGGGGGAAAACAACGGTAGCTACAAACTAGAAAGTGTGAGGGTGCCAAGTTTGAAAGCTTGTGGACTCCTAACTTCATATTTATTTAACCGCTACACCACATACGTCGTCATAGACAATTAAAATTTACAACAAACTACTTCTTGACAAAAGAAAAAAAACGGCGTGGATGGTTGGTGGGTGCTCTGGTGTGATTTGCTCCTTCTTTCCTATCCAGCCTATCGTCCTTATCTCTCCTCCTCCTTTCCTACCCACCACCTATCGTCCTTATCTCTCCTCCTCCTTTCCTATCCAACACCTATCGTCCTTATCTCTCCTCCTCCTTTCCTACCCAACACCTATCGTCCTTATCTCTCCTCCTCCTTTCCTATCCAACA